GGTGGTGACGGTAGTGGTTGCGGTAATGGTAGTGGTGGTTGGTGACAGTGGTGGTGATGGTAGCAGTGGTGACGTGGTGGTGGTAATGGTGGCGATAGTGGCAACGACAGAGGTTGATGATGGTGGTGGTGGTTGATGGCGACGGTGACGGTGACAGTGGTGGTGGCGGTGGTAGTTGTGGTGGTGATGACGGTGACATGGTGGTAGTGATGGGTGCAGGTGGTGGTGATGGTGGCAGTGGCATCGTGGTGGTGGGGGTGGTGACGACGGAACTAGTGGTATGACAGCAGCGGCCACGATGGTGGCAGTGGTCGTGTCGAGATGATGGTGATGGGGGTAATGATGGTAGAGGTGGAGAGTGATTGAGAGGGATAAGTGTCATTTTATGCCCGGGAAGAAAAAAAACAAAAAATTTCTGATTCTTTTTTCTGTTTCCCGGCACAAAAATTAAACCGGATCATCTCGGGAAAAAAAAATAAACAAGTTTTAACAAACAAGTTTTCTATCCATTTCTGTTCCCGAGAACAGAAATTAAAAAATAATTGATTTGGAAAAAATTGTTATGCATCCTAGGTAGTTTATAAGTGACTAGTGATTCCAAATTTATACTTTTTTTTTTTTTGGTAGGGGATATTTTGAGTTCTAATTATAAAGTTTATAGCATAATAAAAGTTCATACTAATTTATTCACTAAAGTATTTCCGCTTAAAAAATATTTTTGTGTTATTCAAATTCATTTATTTTATTTTAGTATTTGTTTTCAAATGTTTGAGAGAAGATCTTTTTACTGAAAAACCTTTTTCACACAAAATGAATCCAAATGTGGACATTGTTTTCAAATGGAAATGCTTAGAAGTAAAAAGCCAACTAGTCAGGTTAGTGAAAGTGATTTTTTAAAACATGTATTTTTTTATACTAACTAAAAGAATTTGTACACGTCTACAAAAAAAAAAAAGTTACATTTGTACACACTTAAAAAAAATTCTACCCTCTCACAATTAGTAAGTCCCAATTACATTGTCTTAACTTGACTAGGGCTATATATGTAAGAGCAGACACAAAAATATCATACATTTGTGCGATAAATTTATTTTGGACAATACTTTCCTTTTTTATATGTCACAGAATTATTTGTTTGAGATATTACTAGAGATACGAAGGACACCAAAGACATACCCTTTTTCTTTCAAGGAGTTAGTTAAGATATTTTTTTGGTTGGTTTATTTTAATTTCATTTTTAATTTATTTTTTATATAAACAAAATTTCCAATTTTATCTTTATATATAAATAAATTTTCATCTTAGTTTCATTTTTAGTTATTAGTGGTGTTTCTATACTCTGAGTGGGAAGATTAATATTTTCTCATGTGTCTGAGGTTGTGGTCCTTGCAGTTTGTTATCTGTTCGATTTAATATTAAATTCATGGGCAAGGATTGGCATGATAGTTAAGAAAGTTTAAATTTCATCCAGCACATAAAGTAATTAATTAGTTGGGCAAAATCGATTAAGGATTAGGCTCATGTCTCACAATAGCGTGAGTTCAAAATCCTGCTGGCCGATACAAGGATTTTGTTGGTGAGCGATCTGTGATTCCTTCCAAAAATTTTCAAAGTGGTTGGAGAGTCTATGTTGTCCCTACTGGAATATTGGTGTCTAAATTCGCCTAAACTATTTTATACTAAAAAAAGTAATTAATTATATTAAACCGATGTGGACTATACTTTAAAAGAACAAGGTGACTGGAAAAGTTAAATGGAAATACCTCCCAGTTATATATAAAAATAAAAGCTGCTTACACTTATATACACAAGTGATATGAAAAACAAAAAATTTAATTATCATATTAAAGAAGAATAGAGTCTACTGTTGATCATAATACATGTTCAACAAGGGTATATATAAAATAAGGGAAAAATTACTCTTATGTTACATGTGATAACTTTCTCTCCTACACATCATTCGATAACTGTGCCATCTTTTTCTTTTCTTTTCTTTTTATTTTTCAGGTGGTGGAGCCTACAAATTTATCTCTATGACATGAGATAATTTATCTCCTTTAACATGAGATTAATAAAATCTATAAAATAAATAAATCGCTTAATTATTAAGGAAATTTTGTGAGAAACAAGAATCAAATTTAAGCTTTACAAGTGTTTCAATTCATCTCAATTTAACCAATTCGCATTGATCTTCAAATTTAATTAGGCTAGCTACTCCATGGTTTTAGTCTTTTATTAGATGTTTGGGAAGGCATATTCTCTTTTAGGGGACGTTTGGTACAGGAGAAAAAAAAATTTAGTCGGGAATCCTAATTTTCAAAAATATAATTTTTACATTCAGTTTATGATATTCGTAAATTTAAAATTTAAAAAAAATTCAGTTTCTCGGACGTACCAAACGCTCCCTTAACGTACATATCTAGAAAAGCCATGGCCTAGCTGTAGACAAGAAAGCCAAAGTCACGGACCCAATCCTGTTTTGTTTTATACAAATCTAGAAGCCTTGGTTTCAACTTTCAAAAGTTCTTAATAACTGCCTTTGGTTTTTTTGTCACACTTTGAATGATTGATTTATATATTTATTTTAGGTGACGCATATGGGGGACCTTGTATCTTTTACACACGGATGCTTCACAAAAATAGTAAAGATATTTCATATCGAAATTTGTACACCATATTTTTTATATATGTAGATCAATAATATCTCAATTATTAATTAATAAAATATATAAATTAGTTGAAGAAAAAAATCTGATTTAATAGTAAATTACTTGTTGGTTTAGGCTTATAATCGTCCAAGTGAAACTTAGATAAAGTTTTATCAACCATTTCAAAACTAAACAAAACTCTAATCATGTTTAGATATGTTGAATGCCGTTGAAAGTTAATTGTAACCAAAATGAGGAGGGGAAACTGAGCATAGCTTGACTTGTTTTTTTTCTTTTGACCACTAGCTTAATTAAAATGAAGAAATGTTGGACATATTTTAAACATGAGTGTCGACATGACATTCAAATACTTGAATTCGATGTGCTTAGCAAAAACAGAGAAATAAGAAAAGGAACAATTCAATCACATGGGGACTGTTCCTATTTGGGCTAAACGGACATGGCGCTTGATTATATTGCATATGAAAATATGCTGGTATATATAAACAACAAATATGAGCAATTTGTGGTCTCAAAGTGGCCTAAAAGTAATTTGCAGAATAAGCATATATAGGGTCGCAGAAGGTTTTTTTTTTAAATAAAATAAAAATAAAAGTTACTCATATCTGTAATATCAAATAATAATATAATCAGTCAAACAAAAATAATATACTAATTATCCTTGTTGTAATAATAATAATAATAATAATATAATAGAAGATTATAAATTTTATTTCGGCACATAATTGACAATATTTTATACTCATTAAAAATTAAATTTCAATGAAAAATGAATTGAAAATGTAACTTACAAGGTATTAAAAATAAGAAGTGAGAAGAAATAATAATGAATGTCATGTCAAGCAGGACGTGAAGGAGCCCGTGACCAGAAACCACCATCAATGGGAGCAAACTTTGGATACTACCGTCATAGGTAGTACTGTTCCCAAATTAGAAAGCAATAGGGGCATAAAAGGAAATGGATAAAAAATAAGGGATTAAAATGGAATAAAAAATTCCTATTTTAGTAAAATGATGTACCCAACTTGGTACAACTGTAGTATTTAATTTAAAAAATTTCCCACCAATGGGGTTAAACTACAACAATTGTAACAAATGGGTTTGACACTATATCTTAACTCAAAACCAAGGCATTGAGTTTATGGATCCTTTTACTTATATGAATAAAAAATAACAAATGTCGTGTCAGGCAAATCCTGGAAGAGCCCATTGCAGGACACCATCCCATTTAGGCATTGGGTTCATAGGTCTTCCCACTTATATGGATTTCACTTATCCCCCTCAAATGTGAAACTCAAGTACTTAACCCGCCTCTAGCCAATCACCAAGCTAAGCTCGAACCCAACTCGGTTCTAATACCACTAACAGACGGGCCAGAGGGAGTCCGTGGCAGGGAACCATCATCAATGGACTAAGGTTAGCCCAACGATATGAAGTGAGTCTGACATCATGTCTCTCAAAATCTTAAAACATTTGTTTATAGGTTCTTCTACTTATATACATTTCACTTAACCCATTATCAGTCAATGTGGGACTCATCACACTTGAATATCTCAATATGTTGTACACTTGTAAGATTATAATTAATTTTAATAAATATTGAATTAGTCAAAAAAAAAAAAATACCAATTTTTTATGAGAAAGGGAGAGATATGTCGATGCAAGAGAACACGGACGACTAAACCACATAGCACCAACACCTAGTGGACCCTTCGGCATATTCTGTGAGCCATACACTTCCTGTGGCGCAAATCACAGTATTTCGTTTATTTTCACTTCCAACATAATCAGCCAAAGTTCATAACATAGGCTCATCATTAAGCTATAGCCACTTTTCTGCTATGAGATTATCAAATTGGTTCCTCTTTCATTTGTATAAATAGAATTGCGTTATGAGAGTTTAAATTTCAACATAGGAACAAAATTTAGGAACAATTATTATATATGTAAAAGCCTCTATATCTGTATTGATTATTTGGCGGTAGTTCCTGTTGGAGATCGATCCAAATCAAATAGAATAGTGGGTAGTGGCTCTTATTAATGATTGGAGGGTGTCATTATATAAATGATACTTAGTCTTATTTTATGCAAAAATTGAACCAAAGATTATATTATATAATATTTTTTACACGTATAGAATATTATGGCCACATTCCATAAGCAATTCAATTTCATCACGGCGCCGAAATTATGGCATCTCATGTTATCTATATATAGCACGCTCTTAGTTGCTCCCAATCACACTACAACAAGCCACAAAAACACACTTAAGGCACTAGCTACTACTCCAATCCCTTTGTGTCTTTGTGCTTCTCTATACACACAAAAAAAATGATGAGTTGCCAAGCATGGCCAGAACCCGTGGTTCGAGTCCAAGCCTTAGCTGAAAGTGGCCTAAGCTCAATCCCTGCATGCTACATAAGGCCCCACTCCCAAAGAGCCACAAACACAACCACCACTTTTGCTCCTCACCAAGCTTCTCAAACTGATCATAATCACGTTAACAACAACATCCCTGTCATTGACCTTCAGCACCTCTCCGGTGAGGACCAAGTCCTCCGAGAGGAGGCCCTCCGGCGCGTCTCCGAGGCGTGCCGGGAGTGGGGTTTTTTCCAGGTGCTGAACCATGGGGTGAGCCATGAGTTAATGAAGAGTGTTAGGGAATTGTGGCGTGAGTTTTTTAACCAGCCACTTGAGGTGAAGGAGGAGTATGCTAATTCCCCTACAACTTATGAGGGTTATGGTAGTCGCTTGGGAGTGAAAAAAGGTGCCACTTTGGATTGGAGTGACTACTTTTTTCTCCATTACATGCCTCCTTCACTTAGGAACCAAGCTAAGTGGCCTGCACTTCCATCATCCTTGAGGTATGCATGTAAACATTTTGTGTTATAATGATCTTTATTGTATGTTTGAACTTATGGCCAACTAAATTAAAACTTTTTTAGCTAATACGTCTTTATAAATATCTAAAGATAAGGCTACGTACCTACAAAGATTATCTTCACCCTTATTTTGATTAGTCGGGATTTTATGGAGAAGATACATTTTATCTCCTACACACACTTTTAAGTGTGTGGGGTCCACATGAGGAGAAGAGAGAGAAAGAAGAAATATGGACCCTATACATCTTTATGTGTGTACAGGGAATAAATTTATCTCACGAGAAATAATAAATACTTGATATTTCTTTAATTTGTTTCTAAGTTGTTATTTTTTATTTTATTTTTTTCTAATTATTGTCTTGTTTGGTTAGATGCGGATGTGGCTACTTATATTTACTTGGAATTTGTTGCTAAACTTAGTGGGGTACCAACTAATTAAAGTGATGCTTTTCATAAAATAAAAGTGATATTTTGAAAGTTTTGGATCTGTCAGATTGAAGGGTGTTGGGCAAAGCCGTGTTACACATGAAGTGAATCTTCAATTTATTATTTTAAAGTAAAGTGTTTTTTTGACAAGTTCAGCCTTGGAGGCTTGTAGCTACCAAAGGCTGGTGCAGCCGAATGTTCTAGTAATTAACGCTTCTTGAACACTTTTTTCAAGCGTAAACACGGACACTCTCTACACCCGCATGTAAAACGTGTGGTTATATTGGGTAAAGAGTCCCACGTCAAAGAGATTAAAGATTGATGAGGGGCAAATGGTTTCATGCATGATATGAGTCTACATATTACAATATTCCCTCTTTCATGGTCAAATGCCAACAAAGAATAAAATATGCCTTGTCTAAAATACGTAACCAATAAAAATGGATTGTGGCATAAATTTTATTTTATTTTTCCATTTCATGTACATATACAGAGGAGCCAATAAATTTCATCTCAACCACCCCTGCTTTACATGAAATAATTGCTTTAAGTATGATCATCATGAAATAATTTGGTTAAGTGGTTTTCGGTCTCTGTTTGATAACAAATGTAAGTAGGACCTTTTGCCTTAGAGTACTTTACATTGAAGGAACAATTTTGTCGCTATCCGAGATGAGGAAAATAACATCAAAAACCTTTCCTCGTAAAATTGTATTTATATTTTTGGAAAATATATGTCTCGTGTTACTTGACATAATTTTATCTTATGCATACACAAAAAATGAATGGAACCCACTTCTTTTTCTTTTTCTTTTTCTTTCTCTTTTTTCTTTTTAGTGAGTTTCACTGTGTTGCATGAGATAAAATTATCTTATACAACATGAGAAATATATATTTATTTTTTTTACTAATTGGTTGTTTTGTGATATGATAGGAAAGTGATCGCTGAATATGGTGAGGAAGTGGTTAAGCTAGGAGGAAGGATACTCAAATTGATGTCAATAAATCTTGGCCTGAAAGAGGATTTTCTTCTTAATGCATTTGGGGGAGAAAATGAACTTGGTGCGTGCCTAAGGGTGAATTTCTATCCAAAGTGCCCACAACCTGACCTCACTTTTGGTCTCTCCCCTCACTCAGACCCTGGTGGTATGACAATTCTTCTCCCTGATGATTTTGTGTCTGGTCTTCAAGTACGCAGAGGAAATGACTGGATCACTGTTAAGCCTGTCCCTAATGCTTTTATCATCAACATTGGTGACCAAATTCAGGTCCTAACTCTCTCTAAAAATTTTCCAAACTCTTACTTATTGAAGTTGGATTGCTTGACCATTTTCTCTTATTTTATAATTTTTTACCATTTTGTCAATATTCCCAAAGTATATATCAAAATGTCATCTTCTCAAATTATATACCAATATGTTCTTATTTGACCAAACCCCTTATCCTTGGTAAATTATTTACTCGAGTAAGTATTAGTCAAATTTTGGTTAAATAAGAGCAGATTGATATATAATATAAGAATAGAGGCAAAATGATAAAAAAAAAATTAAAACAGGGACAAAATAATCAATTAATTCATATATCATGTCACTAGTCATTTTCTTTGACATAATATAATATTTTACTGAGTTCAATATTTCAACAATTGGTGGTTGTTACTGATTAATCAATGTTTAATGCCATGTTTATCTTTTAGGTGCTGAGCAATGCAATATACAAAAGCGTAGAACACAGGGTGATTGTGAACTCAAACAAAGATCGTGTTTCCTTGGCCCTCTTCTATAACCCGAAGAGTGATTTACTTATTGAACCTGCTAAGGAGCTTGTGACAGAGGAAAAGCCAGCCCTATACTCACCAATGACATATGATGAATACAGACTTTACATTAGGATAAAAGGACCTTGTGGAAAGGCTCAAGTTGAATCGTTGACTTCCCAAACATGATTCTGAATGTGTCATTTGCCTATGATAACTGTGATTTGCATCTAAATAAATTAGACACCTTGCTCTTCAATTCGATGGTTTTTAAGTTACCATGTTTTTATTTTGGGGTCTACAGTTGAAATTGTAAAAGAACAACTTGAATCACACGTTGGAATTTTCATTTCATGTTTCTTCTTATCTCAAACCAAGTCTTTGCCTTGTTCTATTCCAGAAAAATTTAAATTTTGAATAATGGTAAGTGGAATTATGATGGTAAAGGAAAAAGATAAAACCATGTGACATAAATTTGACCAATTTGAATCTAGTTGGGTTGACACGTTTTCATTGATGCATGTCTTTCAACTAGAAAAGATGATTATAATATTTAAGCTAATTGAACAATTTTAATTCAATCACGTTGTAAATAGGCCTTGAAATAAGTCAACAAGTTTGCAAATATCTTTAATTTTTTTTTTTTGGTAAGTATATCTACCTATCCCAATTGCAAATTTAGAAAATGCGTGACAGGTTCGTTCACCTTTTAGTCCAGGAGTGGACCTTTACTTGAGTAACTATCATCTTCTTGTTGGGACAATCGTACGATAGGAAAAAGGTGAAAATGATGTGTTTCTTCTTGTTATAATAATAATAATAATAATAATAATAGTAATGAAATATGAAAATGCACACAGCAAAGCACTTTCGCATTTGAAAATTCAAATCATACAAAAACTATGGTATTTATGGTATACTTATGCTGATTATCTCTTTGAGACGAGTTGCCTTCTGAGCATTCACATAAACTTTAACTCTTTGTGTCAGTTATGATATTAATCTCGAGTCGAGTAGGTTTTGCTCCCATGTGTTGGCCATTAATTCCTTCATGTATCTCGGCCAAAACATACTCAGCTTCTTATGAGTTCAAGCACTTCAGCATTGGGGAGTGCAACCCCTTTCTATATAGTAGATCCTCCACGATGGTATACAGTGTCGCATCTCGAAAGATTCCATTGAATCTTTTGGCAGTGTTCCTTTTTTCAGGAAAGTAACAATTGGCTGCCTCCAATCATCTGCCGATGTGATTACCATCACGCAACTCGGCTCCGCTATGCTCTGTTGAACCATGGTTCTGTGGTTACCCGCGTTCTTAGTACTTGCCAATTTGGACAAGATGTCAGCTCTGTTATTCTCTCCTTGAGGAATATGAGTGATTACCACTTCCTCAAATTCAATCATAATTTCTTTGACTCTGTTCAAATATTTCATCATCAAAGGACCTTTGGCTTGATACTTGCCATCAATTTGATACTTGCCATCAATTTGTGAAGTTATGAGTTGGGAATCACTAAAAACTTTCACTATTTTAGCCCCATGTTCTTTGACCTGCATCAGTCCAGCTATCAAGGCTACATAGTCTGTTTGGTTTTTTGAAGTTGGAAAGTTCAAATGTAGGGAGTGCTCTATTGAAACCCCTTCTGGACTTTCAACTATTATCCTGGCTCTACTCCCATTGTTGTTTGACGAACCATCAACATAGACCTTCCAAATGTCATTTTTCTCTGTGGTTCCTGCATCTGCCGGGGTGATCTCCATTATTGAATCGGCCAAAGTTTGGGATTTGATGGCATGCCGACTTTCATATGTTATATCATATTCTTCAGAGAGCTCCCCAATTAGTCATCCTCCTAGTCAAATCCGACTTGTGTAACATTTGCTGTATTGGTTGGTTAGTTTTGACTATTATTTGATGTCCTTGAAAATATGGCCGCAGTATTCTCATCGTGGTGAGCAAGGCGAATGCTACTTTTTCTAGTTTTTGAGATCTCAGTTCAGGACCCTGAAGAGCCACGCTAACAAAATATATCGGCTCTTGGCCTTTATTCGTTTCTTTCACCATCACAACACTTATTGCTTCTTCTCCAATAGCCAAATATAAAATTAGAATTTCTCTTGGTTCTGGCTTTGACAACATTGGTGGTGCTGCCAAATATTTCTATATTTCTTCAAACGCGGATTCACAATCCGGGTTTGTCCATGCTCAGCTTCTTTCTTCAATAACTTGAAAAATGGGAGGCGTTCTTAGCCGACTTAGGAAGGAATTTGGTCAATGCAGCTAGCCTACCCGTTATTTGTTGAACCTCCTTCTTGCTTTTAGGAGCCTTCATGTCCAGCACAACTTTGCATTTATCTAGATTTGCTTCAATTCATCTATTGGTTAACATAAAACCTAAGAATTTTCCAGCCAGGACTGCAAATGCGCATTTAACCGAGTTCAACCGGATCAGATATGCTTTGAGCTTCTGAAATGTTTGGTCTAGATCTTGTACATGGCTTGTCATATCTAATGATTTAATAAATCATATCGTCTATGTAAACTTCCACATTTTTGCCAAGTTGGTCTTCAAACATTTTATTTATCATTCTTTGATATGTGGCTCCTGAATTTTTGAGCCCAGAAGGCATTACATTGTAACAGTAATTGACCTTTTCAGCAATAAAAACTATTTTTTCTTGATCTTCTAGGTACATTGGTATTTGATTGTAGCCGGAATAAGCACCCATGAAGGATAACAACTGGAAACCGGCTGAGTTATCCACTAGTTGGTCTATCTTGGGCATTGGATATGAGTCTTTTGGACACACCTTATTAAGATCTGTGTAATCCGTATAGACCCTCCACTCCCCACTGGGCTTCTTCACCATGACTACATTAGCGAGTCATGTCGTATATTGGATTTCTCTTATGAAGCCAGCATCAAGCAGTTCTTTCACATGTTCCTCTAAGACTTGTCTTCTTTTAAGTCTTAGCTTCCTTTTCTTTTGTGCAACTGGAGTTGATCTGGGATAGATTGCTAGCTTATGACAACAGAATTTTGGATCAATCCCTGGATTTCATAAGATTTCCAAGCGAAATCATTTTTGTTGTTTTTTAGAAATTCAATCAACTCGGCTTTGACCTCAGAGTTGATGGTATTACCAATTTTGGTAAATTGACCAGGCTCATCTCCCAAGATAAGATCTTCCAGCTCATCATCTGGTTCTAGTCTTGGAATAACAGCTTCTTCTCTTATATTCAACTCAACCATATTAACTGGTTTGCTTGAGTGTTGAGAGTTTATCTTCTTCCCAGCTTTATCTCCTGGACGAATCTGGGGTGGACTCAAGTGTCCACCTTCATTTTCTTTGACAGCTCCAAAATTACACTGTCGTGATTCTTTTTGATCTCCCTGAATGGTGATGACCACATTTTTGTTGCTCACCATCTTCAGCTTCTGATGTTTTGTGGAAACCAGCATATCCCACTTATGCAGGGTTGGTCTTTCTAGGATCACATTGTATGGAGAGGGAAAGTCAGCAACAATGAATCTTACTCATTCTAATTGGAATGTCTCTTTCATTCCCAAAATCAATTTAAGATCTATGTATCCCTTAGAAGGTGTACTTTTCCCATTAAAGGCTATCAGGGTAGTTTTGCAAGGCTTGAGATCTTCTGCATCCAAATTCATTCTTTTGAAAGTATCCCATATGATGATATCTGCAAAACTGTCAGCATCTATAAAAATCTTTTTAACCTGGCAATTCACCAGGGTTCCTGTAATAACCAGGCCATCTTCGTATCCCGGTAGCACACCTTGTATGTCTTCTTTAGTGAAATATAGCAGAGAAGGATCCGATTTATTGGTATCTTCCTTGAGTTTTAGTCGATCTCTGAATGAAAGTACTTCTCTGAGATACTGATAATGGATATTTTATTGCATTTATTTATCACTATTGATTAGTATTTTACGAGTATTTGGAATGAAATAATGGTCTTTTGGGTTAAATTAGATTTCTGGTTGTTTATTGGGTTTAATTTATTTTCGTCATTAATTTCTAACTTTACGTTACTTTAGTATTTTGATCATATCTCGCTCCACAGGTGTCCGATTGAATCTGTTCTTGTTGTGTTTTAAATATAACTCAGAGGGCTACAAATGCTATGAAGACAAGAAAGCCCAGTTCGGAGAGAAAGATGATCAAAATTAGAGCCCAAGTCACAAATGAGTTGCTGGGATTTTATTGAATTAAATTTGTAATTAGAACCCAATTCTATTTAGGCCCAAGACCATTTATTTAGTTTTAATTCTATTTTTATTTTTATAATGGACCGACATTAGTTGAACCCTAACCCAGTTTGGATGGATTTAAAATGGTTCATTTAGAAAACTTGTTGGCAGTCTTCGTTTGAGAGTTTGTACGATCAATAAATTGTCTCTGAAGATTAATCTACATTTTTCTGTTATTATTCTTCTTCTTCATTTTAATTTTGAATTATGTTCATCTTATCCATGCTAGGCTAAGTACCCTTTAATCAACCTAAGGGTAACGGATTCCATGTATTAGTTTAAAGGATCTGTGTTTCTCCTTTAATTAGATTCATTTCTCTTCCAAACTCAGATTGATATCGTGCGATTGTGGATATTCAATCTGAGATTCGCGATTGCGATTATGGAAAGAGATTAATCATCAGATTTGATGATTAGATTGATTAACCCTATGACCTTAAGTCAAAGCTAATACTCTGTGATTGTATGAGTAGAAGCAACGTGTTTGACTAAACGTTAGGCGATCGCTTAGAGAGGATTCTTAAATGAATAAAAGGATTCTGATTCAATTGAGATCAATCACGATTTTGGTATCTTTTTATCCGAGGAAAGACATTGTAGGAATCCTAGCCTTAGGTTGGTTAATTTAATTACAAATTTCAATTTCAATTTTTACGTTCTGTTTAATTATAATTCAAAGCGAACAAACCCCCCCCCCCCCCCCCTTTTCATTTCTTTTTAATTTGCGATTTAAATCCTTGAAATTTTCTTGAGAGACGACTCAGGTTTGCACTATGTTACAAATTTTTTTATAAACCTTATTTATTTTATTTGCACGAGTTCGATAGCTCGAGTTTGACAGTTTAACAGCACTATATTTTTTTTATTTTTTTTATAACCTCCATCACGTACGACTCACATTCCTCGCCGACATTAAACCCTCCTCTATCTCTTGCATTCTTCTCATATTTTCATCTTGAATTCTCCTAAAATCCTCCTATCGTCAGAGGTTGTTACGGTTTTCCATATCCTCCATCCGCCTTATGATCTCAACAAATGCGTTTTGGGCACGGGATCTGCAGCAAATGCAACGCGGACAGCAGCATGTGTAGGATTTAGAGGAGGAGGATTTGCAACTCAATTTCGAGAAGCTGGTGTTGAGACTGTGTCCGAGACATCTTCACTTACGTGAACAACATCATAATCAATCTCATTCTCTGGTTGATGTTGATTCTGAGGTTGGTCTACCTCTTCCACCACAGGGTCCAGTGGAAGATTTGGATGTGGTGGCACCGCTACTCCTTGTACGAACCGCCATTGTCAGTTGTGATCGTGGAAATAACGATTTTACTGCTTCCCAACAGACGGTGTCAGTGTTCTGTCTTAAAGACAGAGATGTCTAGCCCAATAGAGCTAGTATGTTGTTTTTGGATCTGGATGCTCTCTCCAAGGTATCTATGGATTAGATATCCTTGAGTCAAGCAGATCATTATACACAAAAGAATAATAAACTGTTTTGTCAAAAAAAGGGTGTATGCACAGTGACAACATAACAGTAAGAGAGAGAGAGAGAGAGCATACGTATCTGTAGGTTTTACCTCTTATTTATAGAGTTTACTTATTGGTATCGAATTCTGGACCTTTAGTGCTTCTGCTAATGGCTCAAGCCCATATACTATGTTATCGTATTAAGATTAATATCCTTGATGTATATTTTTCCTTAACTATATCTTATTTATATTTGAATTGTCCTTTATTAGACTTATCAATAGATGAGTCTCGTATATGAGTTCATAACAAGAGCCAACATCATAGTATCAAATTTTGGATTATTTTATCATTGTATGCCCTAGAAATGTCAATTATGAACACATGACATGTATGCGCAATCGCAAAACCAAAAAAAATTGTGAATTGGGTATGATTGTAAATGTAACATTCTTTGTAAGTTAGAATTATTTATATAACAAAAAGAATATATGATGCTCATAATTAAAAATTTATATGAAGTTGTAAGGGGCCATCAAAACTTATACGAATAAAAAAAATATAAATAACAATTCACAATTAAAGCAATATATAAATTTGAAAGGCGTAATCATCATTGATAACCCCTCCCACGCCCTACCCCTCATATATATATATATATATATATATATATATATATATATATATATGTATGCAAGATTTAGCCAAGCTGAAACTTTTATTTTCATACAACATTATATTACAAACATTATTGTTTATTCCTTTCTAGGTCCTCCAAGATATAAATGTCCCCATGACTCCATGAGAATGCTTTGATTTGAAGGCCCAAAAGATCAAGCAGACACTGTGTACAAGATCGACATCATCATAGTCATCCTTTTTATTAGGCAAACATTTATTATAATTATACAAAATTTATAATAAGAAGCCAGGCACTAAAGGTGATTGACATTCTGCTGCAAGCTGACTCCAAGAAAGATTCCAAGTTTGATTGTAGAATTCTGGTGTGGTGGATGATACTAGTTCAAAATTTCTTGGAAAAACACCCTCCTCTGTGATCCTTTGTTTTTTGGTTGATTGATGTTCTTCCTCATGTTGTGCTTCCAAAGATTCATATTCTTCAGAAAGAGAAGGTAGAGGTGTAGCTGCAGCAACAAAAGGTTTGCAACCTTTTCCAATGATTGTTCTGCAATGGTAACTTTGTCCAATTCTATCCAGGTAATTTCCTTGTGCTTCAATTTTTTCCTTCATGCTTCTCTCAACCTTCCATCCAAATAAAATAAAGGATGGGTAAAAAAAAGAAACAAAATTTTTCTTTTTAGTAAAAAAGAGCACCAAATTCGGTGCTACCAGTGCATTGAAGTTGGGAGTGAGTGTCGTACATTAAAATACTTGAGAAAAACTAATGTTAATGTTCTATCTTATATTAATTAATAAAACATGATGGTGTGTAGATAACAATTCCCTTCAATCTTTCTAGAATTCTTGACCAAAATATTTATAAGGACTATGTTTTAATGGGATTTGATAGGTCTAGTATCCTGTTTATAGTATACTTATTACACAACATTTGGATTAATAAAAAAAAAACCAAAAAAATTAATCATTTTTTACTTTTTCCTTTACAAATCGCAATATAATATTTTTAATTAAGATGTCAATAAGATTAAAAATTGTTATGTGAAAGTTTTCTAAAAGAATTGACATAGTATTGCTACAATGTCTATCTATATAAGGATATGTTGGTCAAAGAAAAAAAATACCTCTACTTGATCACTCAAGCTTTTTTGCACCTCCTTCTGCATTTGAAGAACTTCCTTTAGCTGAAGAGCACTGCTCATTTAAAAACAGTGATAGTAAAAATATAATTAATATGTTATTTGATTCAAAAAAATGAAAATTGAAAAGGAGAGATAAAAACTATTGTTTAAGGATCGAGTTATTGACTCACGATATAGAACTAAAATTCGGAAGTATATCTGATATGCTTCTCCTCTCAAGCTTTCCTCCTTCTGAATGAAAAGTTATAGAATATAAATGATCAAGGAACCAGTTTATAAGTTCACATGATTTTAGTTTTAGTATTTAATCAGTATCATGACTTGTCCAAATTAAAACTTACTTGTGGTGGACTCTGGAATCAATTTGGAGATCCTGTATTTCTGAACACATTCAAAACAAATTCATTAGTTACTGTTTAGAACCTAAATTGTATTCTCAGTTTTCAAATAAATTATATGATTTCACTCTCTCTTTTTTATACCAAATGGTGTCCAAAGTCCCAACGGACCCAATTAATCTAGTTTCACTTTTAATTAGGACTCAATTTTGATATTTTTAAAGTTTAAGAATTTCAAAATAAATGTGCAATTGAACACAATAGTAACTTTATTTAATCCGTCTGTATATAATATTATAAAAAGATCCACTTTCATATCCAATCTTTTGATTTTAAAAATTACTATTATTAATCACTTAAACAAGTTTAAAAAGATATAATTATAAAATTATAAATACATCTTCTTAATCATTTAAAGACTTAAAAATAATGTAAAAAGGACAAAATATTTAAACATGTCTTAGTTTCTGAACTGTTAGTGTGGTGGAAGAGCTAAGTGTGTAATCTCAAAGGGTGTGAGAATCACTATGGGAAAGTTCTTGACAGCAATGGGTGTAGGTTATGATACACGGACACGGGACACAACACGACACGACACGCCGACACGTTAATTCTAAAAAATGTCATATTTGAACACGTTGGGACACGTTTTCATATTAAATAAAATTTTTGTAACTTGAATGTTACTTCTATAGTTTAAAACTTATATATATATATATATATATATATATATATATATATATTGAAATTTTTAAAAATCATATTATTTTACTGAATTAAAAATTGAGATAAAAATTTGTCAGTATAAGTTATTAACTTATTATTATAAAATTACATTTTAATAAAATCAAATTAAGCATAAAATTTACTTTTGGGTGTGAAAAAAACAATTATAACCGGCCCGTTAAATTTAAAAAGCATTGGTCAATTATGTAAGCCTAATAGTAACATTAAGTGAGGGCATTAAGTTAGATTTGGCCCGTTAAGTTAAAAAAAGATTCGCCCAACTTTTACAAAACCTAATATTCACATACATTTAACATTTCCATACACTCAGTTGTAAGCCGCCGTCGCATCTTCTTCTTCATTTCTTCTTCCCCCTTCTTCTTCATCAAGACTGTAATTTTTTTTTCCAGAAGTTTATGTCCGCACTTGCGGACATTGGCGCATAGGTAGGTCCGTCACTGATCTCTTCTCCTTTGTTTGAATCGAACTTGAGTCTCTTCTCCTCTGCTTCTGCTCCTTTTTATTTGTAATTTTTTTTTTCAAAAAAAATGCAAAACGTGTCCCAAAATCCACATACATTGACCGCGTGTCGGATACGGTCAAATTCGCGTGTCTCAATAGTCAACGTGTCCTAAAAAGTCAATCACGTGTCGGACGCGTGTCCTAACGTGTCCGTGTCCGACACGTGTCGGACACACATTTTTTTCCAAAAAAGGCGTGTCCGTGTTTCACAGGGTGTAGGATATAACAATGAAGGGGGTGATGAATGACTACAATGGCTCTTCAAGTTGACAAAGTAACAACTCATACAAATAGTGATGTTTTTAGTGTTCTTGGTAAAGAATGAGGGGGTATTTATATGTTCCCATTCGATGGGAGAGTGAGTCAATTCAACTATTAAGGGGAAGAGAAAATGTAGCCTAGGCAAGGCACATAGCAGCTATTGTTGTTGAGATATATAGTCCCACATTGGTTGTATGTGCAACTAATTTGGAGTTTATAAGGCCTTGGGCACTCCCACCCTTTGAGCTAGCTTTTGGGGTGGTGTATTCCAAGGTTCTTTACATGGTATCAGAGCTTGAGTGGCTATAAGGTCACAAGTTCGATCCTCACCGCCCCCACTTTAAAGTGGAATTAAAATAAAAATCACAAAAAGGTAAACCAAGAATTGGGCCTGTGCAATATCCACGCTTCTAGGGCTCTCGTGTGAGGGGGCGTGAGATATATAGTCCCACATTGGTTGTATGTGCAACTAATGTGGAGTTTATAAGGCCTTGGCACTCCCACCCTTTGAGCTAGCTTTTGGAGTAGTGTATCTCAAGGTTCTTTACAATTGTCAACACTATTGTAGTTACTATGCAGGGAAAAGCATAGAGGGAGAGGCATTTTGGTGCATGTGCCAGACAAAGAGGAGGGGAGTGTATCCCAAGTAAGACATTCTAATGTCTTATATTAAAGAATCTGTTGTATGGGTGCTGATATGGCAGCAGTGTCGAGGCTGCTTGGACACCAGAGAGCTAGTGCTGCAGGGATAGTATGGGCCATTATCATTGGGCCGGTGATATTGCGCTGATTGATTGGGTCAGTCAGAATAGTTTCCAAATTCAATTGTGTTCAAACATTTATCAACTTTTCACTATATAATTATGGGTTTCATTTTTCTCATATTGCATAAAAGAATTATCTCCTGCAAAAAAAATAACTATGTACTAAGGGTAGTACATAGTTATAATGGTAAAATTATTTTTTCTCTTTTTTCCATGTCAGTCGACAATATCCGAGGAGAGAAAAAAAAATAACTTTAATATTATAATTATATATTATCCTTAGTACATAATTGTTTTTTTTTGTAAGAGAAATTTTTCCAGCAACGTAAGACAATGATTTCTGTATAATTATTCATAATTTACTTCAAACAGTCCTATTTATTATTTTCACCTTTACAATATATATATATATATATATATATATATATATATATAGAGAGAGAGAGAGAGAGGTAGGATCCTTTGACACCTCATTTGAGAGTCGTTAGATCAAAAAAGATCTACGACTCTGATTTGTAAGCATGTGACACCATTGATCTTTTTTTATCTAACGGCTCTCAGATGAGGTATCAAATTTCAAATTTGATACTGGTGTTAAAGGATCCTACCTCATATATATATATATATATATATATATATATATATATATATAAAACAAACATGAACTGGCATGTAAGGGTATGCATGGAGCGGTTCATAACCGGTTTTGACAAAAACCGAACCGAACCAGTTTTAAACGGTTTGGTTTTCAAACCGAACCGATTTTCTTTTTTAAAACCGGTTTTTATTTATCCAAACTGGTTTGAAACCGATTCCAAAACCAGTTTATGGTTCAAAATCGATTTTGATTTAAAATCAATCAAAACCGGTTTTAAATCAAAACCAATTATTAAGTTCAAAACCGATTTTATAACAACTTCAAAATCGGTTTTTGATGAGTTGTGCTATTTTATTTATTTTTTTAAAAATAAAAAATACCTTTATTATTTATTTATTGCTACAAATATCTAGATTATTTTGATTAAACATTAGAAGGTCCTTTATTTATTTTTTGCTAAAAATATCTAGTCTATTTTGATTAAATATGAGTAGGCCCACTATTGAAGCCATCAACATGGATTCATCCATATAGAGGTGATGCTCACAATCATGAAAATTCTTGTTTTAACCATAAATATGCTCACAATAAGCAAAAACATAAAGATAAAACTACATTATCAATAATTTTAGTAGAAACCAAACCCACCATATGAAAAACTATATTTGAGTTTTCTAGGCACAAAATGCAATTTTCTATTCTAACTCACATTTTCTCGTACAATATCAATGAAAAAGAAAGAGGTAAACATAATAAATCCAATAAAAGAATTAATAAAAAACCATTAAAAAAATGGATATGGTTTGGTTATTTTGGATATCCAAACTGTTGTAAAAATGGATAACCAAAACTAAACCAAAATTAAAAAACTGGATTGGTTTTTTAAACCATTTTATAAAAATCAATTTTTGAAACTGGTTTGGTTCAATTTATGAATTGGTTTGGATCATTTAGTTTTTTTAACACCCCTACCGTATCAATTCAATAGTGTGTAAAGTGTAAACCAAGGTTCTCTGTTGAAACTACAAATATTAATAAATACATCTAAAAAAGGTACCGTATCATTACTTGGGCCAAGTTTAGGCTTAAACGTTTTTCTTGTTTTTCCTTTTTTTGGGTGACTTCGTGAGTAAGTTGAAGATGGATCCCTATTGAATGAGCACTTTAAGCAATAGGCCCACGAATGACTAAAAGAATTTATAGGTATACTTTTCTTTTGTATTTTCTTCTTCTTCTTTTTCTCAACAATTTTTATGGCCATTAATATAGGAATAAATTGCAAAAGTATTAGTACCCAAAAAAAAAAGTCCAATGTTATATCATTTTTAGGAATAAAAATATGTTTACGAACTTTTTATTTATAAATTTTAACAAACTCAACTATGTGTTTCAGATAATACAAATATTTATTTCACAAAATATATAGTTGAGTTTATAAAAATCTATAAATAGAAAATTTATAAATATAATCATCTTCATATTTGTATGCGTGCGTATTTGCTTTTGCTGAACTTATAGAAGAAATATAATGGAAAATTTTGCTAGGTTTTCAAATTGAAATTGATTTATGCATCCACTACTCATTTCACGTTCCTCACATTTTCAATATGGAAGGATCTCCATCACACAAAAGGAGAGAGAGAGAGAGAGATGAACCTGCAAGTGGCTTTTGACATGATAAATATTCAATTCTGAAACACCCATTGCTTTCATCCCCTTTAATATACTTTTTGGTGTTGCCCCTGACAAAAGCATATTATATTAGTGGCAATAATTCTTAAAACTTACAAGACAATATTACTCCTAATAATTCAAATAACACACCCATATAACTTCACTCTGTAATTAAACCTTTACTTATGTCTTTGTATGTAGTTCCAACTAAATTATATCTTACGTACATTTACCCTATATTTAAAATATTTTAGAAAAATTGATAGGGATAGCTTTACTTCAGGTTAACCAATGATCTTGAATTTGAGTCATACAATTGTGTTAAAAATTTGATAAGGAGAATTTTGTTGCATTTGTGATCCTGTCCGGCTCCATTGAATTAATCAATAAACCGATGGAGCAATTTTGTTTAAAAAAAAACAAACTTGAAATAATACAATACAAAATCACTTTAAAGATTTCAAAATCAGGAGATAATTTTTGTTATAAAGATGGTACCAAAAATTGAACTTCAATAATTTTCTAAAAACAAATCAAAATTCTTTACCACGATTACAAATCTTAGTGGACTTAATCGATTAACAAGAGATTGATCATTTGACATATTTCCTAAGAACTTAAGAAATTTAATATGAAAAATCAAGGTTCCAAATTTACACTATATGTTATATGATGCTGAGTATGGTTAGGACTATTGATGCAAAGACTTACTATCAGGACCACCAAGCCTATTTACAGCCTCCACAAAGCGATCATGGAGTTCTTGTGACCAACGTAAACGTTCTTTGCCAGTGGCAGAGCCATCTGAGCGACTTGAACCCATAACTGAACTTTTTGGGGGACTAAGAGGCCCAACTCATTGTGGTAGTAAAAAAGGAGGATTATAGTACACATAGTTGCATACAAGGACAAAAACAGTTGTTGTCGATGTCCACTAAGGTACATGGGCTGGCTTAGATTCTATTTAGTGTCCGTAATTGTCGAAAAAAACCAAGTATATGCTTGTTCTAAAACTTAACATTTCGTGTCTTAAGTATTGTGTTTTATCCTTGGTCTTTAAGGCAATGATTCATTTGGCGAGAATGTCTATGATTCAGTCAATGCCCTCAATTAGAAAATTACACACCTAGTTTCCTCGTCAACTCAAATTCATTACTGGAGAATTTGGCTTTACATATGTTGGAATGTATGAAAAAAATTTAATAACATAAACCAACACTTCCAAAAAATTAAGACACATGGGTAATTTTATATTATATCTTTTTTTTATATCGACCTTAATTATCTCTTTAAGACAAATCAACCCTTAAATATCCTCACATAGTTCAACTTTTTGAGCCACAAGTTGAGAATTAGTTATAATTAAGGGGCAAGATATATTTACCACCGAAAAAGTTTACCACCTTTATAACCAACCTAATCTCCGTTGATTTTCGTCAATCTAACGGTTATAATTTTTTGATCGCATTTATTAGTTATTTATTAATTTTCAATAAATTATAACCGTTAGATTGACGGAAATCAACGAAGATTAAGTTGGTTGTAAATGTGGTTAACTTTTTTGATGGTAAGTATATTTTATCCCTATAATTAAATCTTTTTGTCTCTTCCCAAAAATATATTTGTTGAGAATCAAATCCATATTCTCTCTCCATTTACTTAATCTGCATTGCCAACTGAGGTACAAGGTAAAAATTTAGACCATTTCTAACAATCTCTTCTATGCTACTTAAGGAAATGGAACACCTGCATTGAAGTTTTTCTGCTGATAAAAGAGAAAAGAAATAAAAATAAAAGAATTGATTCCTAATTTCTCTCTCAATAAACTGCACCATGCCTCTTGCAATTCCCGCGGCTAAGATTCTAATAACCAAGATGAAATTTCATAATTAAAGTAACAATATTAGCCAAGTAAGTTAAATTTAAAAGTAAGTTTTTAGGATGTTCAAGTGGCCCTATTTCAGAAACAGCAAAGTAAGTTGTAGAGAGATTTATTTCACCTTCAAGTTAACTAACTATCTGGCATTTGGTATAACAGTATATCATATTTGACATGCAATATAGTTTATTTTCTTCTTTTTTTAAATGCCTCTATGCTTCATGATGCACTCCATTCATATAATCTTTTCATTAACCAATCAAGCAACATACCTAAAGTATCATTAGAAGAAACTCTGGTGGGGAAAAGGTGAAATGACCACCTTTTATTTTCCGAAACAAGGTTAAAAAAAAAAGTTCAATGTGTACATTCAAGCAAATATCAATTAATTGAAAAATCAGAATTCATCATATTCTATTCTATAAATATATAACATACACTAAGAATTCATCTTGGTGAAAACAAACTTAATCCCAGAGAAATACGGCATTAGACATAGACACTATACCTATTACATGAACTTCTCTTAAGTGATGTAACAATATTACAGTATCTTGTCAGCCACAACATGACATATTGGCTTCATCCTAGGGCCTGCCCCTCCTCATGCTGCATGATGGACATTTATATTGCTTGATGCTCTCAGCCTTTGCAGGAGTAATCTTCACACATTTCCCATGGAACCACCTCTCACATATATCACAGCCAATCCAAAATTCATCCGCATTGTAATTTCCGCCACAGCTCCCACAAAGAGTTTCACTATGCTCATCTTCATCCTCCTCATAACCCTCATCTGCAAACTTTGGGTTGCTTTTAACTTGCCCATCACTAGATCTCTGCAAATAAATGTACAAGCCTGCATCATATACGGAATATACTATGTGGCATGGCAAGGCATAGTTTTGCACACCCCGGAAGCCCTAAATCATTGTCTTATTTCAATTAGTTGTAGTGATATACAAAAACAGACACCATGGAACTGAGAACTGACAGCTTTCTAAAGTGTAGTCAATCATACTTTGTTTTCACTGATCTTCTCCATGAGCCTAGAGGAAAGTAAAATGTGACACTGAAAGATTCTGAACTTAGTTCGACAATTACAATAAGTTTAGGAGCAAGAAACTCTAAGGCCTAGTTAGCACTTACGTTTCTACTCTCAAAAGCTGCATTTGGAAGTTAACCAAGAACACTAAAAAAGGACAAACCCCAATGCACAAGACTCCTCGACTTGCAAGGATAAGGATGAAAGTTGATTGTATACAGCCTTACCCTTGCAATTTTGCAAAGAGGCTATTTCCTATACTCTAACCCTTCCGATCACAAGGAGCAACCTATGGACTGCTCCAAGACTCGCCCTCAAACACACTAAAAAATTAAAATAAAGGCGTCAATATGTCTAGAAGCATGTCTCAGGTTTGTGTTTCCCGTAACCTTTGTATTCTCATCATGATTCACTCATCTTACCACTCAGAATCACCATGTTAGGAAATACTTTTAGAAGCTAGTTGTGCTTTTGCTTGTCAAACACACACTAAAAGAAAACTAAATATTTTAATTATTTTAACAGTATAATGACATGGATATAGTGACTTTCATTTCATTATTAAATTTTAGAAGCTTTCAGAATGCCAAAGCATTACCAAACCAAGCCTTTGAACTAATCTCTGCAGAACCAGCCAAACGAAACAATTATCACTAGAAAAGGAAAACATTAACCTTGGTGCTTCCCCGAGATTTGCTTCCACTATCCACAGTGGGCTTGTCCTTAATTGGTTTCCTGTCAGTCACAACTTCAAAAACGGTGGGAAGATCGTTGATCAAACTAAATAAACGTTTCCTGCCACAAAGAATCAGAAAAACCATCAATAGAAGGAACCATATGCCAATTACCAATTGCAGTAATTTCTAATCGATGGGAAAGCCAAAAGGGAAAAAACAATAGTAGCCGTCCTGGATAGCAGCACAAATCAGAGAACCCTAAAAATGCTATAGTGGTATAGCGAATTGCTGAGCATCCACTATATCTAAAATAGCAGATTGCAAAGTGGCTCTCTATACCAAAGATAGCAGAAACAGCATAAATAATTTATAATACACATAAATAAATGCTCAAAAATAAAAAGTTGTCAAAATTAAGACATATTCATCATTAACAATCAAAACTCAGTTTAAAGACACTAAATATCATTCATCTAAGGCTGGAAATAATATCTGAGGTTAGAAACAGATGGATTTGGAGTTAAAAAGAACTAAAACCAAACATCTTAGCATACTGTAAAAATATCCAACAAAAAAAAATTACATGATTGGGAATTGGGACACCTTCAATCACAATAGGTTTACGCTAAGGTTCTGCATTGAGTCCTTATCATTATGCCTTAATTATGGATGAGCCAGCAAAAGTTATCCAAGACAAGGTGCCATGGTACATACTATTTGCAGATGATATTGTGCTTATGATGAGTCCAAGGCCAGTATTAACACTAAATTGGAATTATGGAGAAGCACGTTGGAGTCTAAAAGATTAATATTAAGTAGGAGTAAGACTAAAACGGAGTGTGAGTTCGTCGTGACAAGAGGAAAAGATCAAGAATTTGTCAATATGCTAGAACAAAACGTGCCCAAGAGAGATGTGTTTACATATTTGGGATCAATCTTGCAAAAGGTGGGAGAGATCGATGAGAATGTAAGCCATATAATTAGAGCAAGTTGGATGAAATGGCATAATACATGGCACAGTGCATCCATAGTAGTTAATAGTGCCGCTATTGCGTGCAAACACACTTCTGTTGCACATCGTGGAGACCATCCACTACAACCTGCCACACGACGCAATGGTTTATGGAAGCAGCTGTAGCGTCCGCTTTTGAGGGAAAATTGCGGTGGAATTGCGCCGCTACAAAAAAAACTTTCAAATTTCGTTTTTTGCCCTTTGTATAATGACCCAACAGTCTTTTTTATAAGGGTTAAATTGCCTTTTAGCCCTTACTTGTAATCTTACTCTGCACTCTCTCTCTCTTATACGTCAAACAATGAAAAAAAAAACCCCAAGCCAGTAGCAAACAACAGCGGCCAGCCGTTCCACTTCCGACGAACGGCGATTGACTTCTGGCGACAACTTTTTCTGTTTTGTGGATAGTTATCAAATGCGGATTGCGGCATGTCGCGTCCAACCCCAAAAAACGCTATAGCGTTATAGCGGGTTGCGGTAATAACGGAATAGATATATGACAGAAATAATGACAAAAATAAACATTTTTTAAAGGAAGAGATAGCAGAAGTGACAGAGACAGACGCGGATAGACTAAAAAACCCTTAAATTTTATCGGTTACACATTTGAATTTAGGACAAAATTGACATTTTGCCTTATGACAGCAATATGACCGTAAATGCGATCGCAATGGCCGCTATTGCGTTCCGGTGTGGCGCGGTGCGGTTTCTTGCGGCGAGGCACCGCAACGCCCATACGGCGCGGCTCGCGACGCTATTGCGGCGCAATTAACTACTATGGTTTTGTGTTCTCTCCGTTTTCTTCTTATTTTCTTCTCTGTTCTCTTCTTCTTTTAAACTCTTCTCTCTCTCTCTCTCTCTCTCTCTCTCTCTCTCTCTTTCTTGTAAACTGACCAGCAGCTATATGTATTTTATTTTTTTCACAAAAGTCTGCTTATGCAAATTTTTTTTTTTTTGTGAGCATGCAAAACGTATTTTAACTCTCTTTTCTTGTTTTTGGTTTGTAGTATTTATTTTTGGTTTTTAACTCTTTTTAAAAAAAAAAAAAAAAACAAATAACCTTTATATTATTTTTTTTCATGGTTTTTTTATTAAGATATTTTTAACTCTGTTTTATTCTTTCTTTGATATCTAATTTCATTTTTTTATGTTTTATGATGGTTTTTTTTTCTTTTTTTTATTCTTAATAACTTGTTATGTTACTTGTATTGAGAAATTATTCTTAATATCTTTATTTTTTAACATATATAAGTGTGGTATATCTAGCTTCTATTGATCTATTCCGCTATTTCCGCAACCGCAACCCGCTATAAGTTTTTCAGGGGTTGCCGCGATAGCCCGCAATCCGCATTTAACTAGTATGAGTGTATCGAAATTTTTGTGTGATCGTAAAATCCCTTTTAGGCTAAAAGGAAATTTTAATAAAACAACAAAAAGGCCTATTTATACAGAGAAGAATATTTGCCAACAAAGAAACATGAGCATAAAATGGGAGTAGCGAGAATGAGGATGTTAAGGTTGATATATGGTAATACAAGGATTGATAAGATAAAATATGAAGATATTCGACAAAAAAGTTACAGTATCAGAACAAGAAAAGATGAAAGAACATAGATTGAGATGGTTTGGACATGTTCTTCAAAGACCCTTAGAAGCTCTGATAAGAAAAGAAGTCCGTTATCAAAAGCATGAAATAAATAAAGAGGTCAGCAAGTACTTAGGGGAAAATAGTAAAACAAAACTTAATGAAGTGAAAATAAATCAACGTGCAGTTTGTCCAAGGACAGAGTGGAGGAAGCTATTAGTATTATGCAGGGATAGAATTTGTGCTATTAACTTTTATTTTCCCTTTCCTTCTCTCTCTCTTAAAAAATCTATTTTTTTTTTAATTTTTGTGTTTTTATTTATATATATATTCATTATTTATTTTTCCTTAATTTGTTCTTGCTTTTGCTTTTATATGGGTTCATTGATTGCCGAACTCAACTTGTTTGGGATAAAGTTGATATTGTTATGTTATTGTTGTTGGGAATTGAGACACTGTGATTGGCAGTTGAGAGACCTGCATAAGCGCTGAGCAGAAGATGGAAGTGCTGTGAACAGGACAGCGGATGGAATAAGTTCAGTAAAGTACAAACAGAGGCTACCAGAACAGGGTTGTGCAAACTGACCGTGGCCAAAAATAGTGTGGCTTGCTAAAAGTGTGATGGAAAAGGGCTGAAAACATGAGTTATGTCAAAGCCTTGAAGGTAGGTTTCTAACCCTAAAATCAGTTCTAAAGGAGAAAGGGGAGGGCAGAATTGGGTTTTCACCCCTTGCACAGCATAGGGTCTGCAACAGCCACGATCTACGCTACACGAAAATGTGACACTATGAAAAGCCTGTAGCGGTCAGAGGCCGCTACGGAAAGATGATGGCATTATCACATGCCATTGACTATTGGAAAAACTAGAAGAAACCAAAGCAACAGTGTAAATATATTCAACAATACATATGAATCATGATAAATAACACTAATTACAAACATTTCCCTCAAGAATCCCCTTAACAATGCACTAAATTCTGAGAAAAAAAGGAAAACCCCAGTGTACAAAAGCTCCCAACTTTGTAAGGGTAAGAGTAAGGGTCGATTGTACGTCACCTTACCCTTGCATTTTTGCAAATAGGCTGTTTCTTAGACTTGAACCTGTGACCTTCCGGTCACAATGGAACAACCTTACCATTGCTCCAAGGCTTTCCCTCTACACTAAATTCTGAAAAAGTGAAGGAAAAATAAAAGTATGAATGACAAGAGGCATTTCAGAAGTGATTTGAATTTTTTGCCCTGGTAAACATCCCTAAATGAAACATCCCACATAATTGTTGTCAGTTAACAATTGCCAACATTTGTTTCACTTACATGCTGAAAATATCCCTGAATTAATATACTTAAACAAACCCACCTTCTAAGTCACAACATTCATGTTGCATGCAGTATCACAAGTTAAATTCAAATTGCCAATGTCATATTTTATGGTTGATTACAGACCCAAACTTTCAGAGGCTACCAGAGCAGTCAGCATGGCTACTCCTGCTGCCAACCTCAAATTCATTTTATTTTTTTTCAAATAAATGATTTGCTGCATAAGGAATCTCAGCTGATGTTTGCTCGTAACATAAGCTTGTATTAAGAAACCTTTTACTGCAATATAAGGAATATATGTATAAACCTATCTAGCATCACATCACAACAGACCACAGAGAAATTTGGACCATCACCACTTTGTTAAAAATTCATAATTTCTTTTGAGGCATTCATCCATCATAATGATTTAGATGAAAGTTGAGCAGTAGCGCTAACTCCAATTGTAACCCATAGTTTTCAATATTAAAATAGGTGTTTAAAGATGTCCTTAATGGATTGAGAGCCACAATGAACTTGAATAATTACCACATGTAAGCATGACCACCAAAGCTAGATTGTACCTTTCATTGCGGTTGAGACGAGCTCCAAGATAAAAGGCCACAGAAAGCAACCATGAATCACTGTGCACAGCAACCAGAGAAAGCCAGTCCCTGCGGTTCATGCCATCTCTAGCAAAGTTGATGCCAAGAGCTGGCTCAGGTAGCTCCGGAGGAACTTCCTCTGCTGGCAGAGTCACTTCCCAGGCTTCATTGGGATGTCCATAGAGGCACAAGTTCTCCTTATCTTAAACAAACACACCAGAAACTTCGAATTTAATGGAACGACACATAAATTAATTATTACAAATCCACATAAATCAATAATCTCAATTAAATTGAAATTCAAATCCATCAAAGTAAGCATGGATGTGACCCTATAATCTCAAATGTCATACAGCAAATGCAATCCTAGTCAAATATAACGTTCCCGGAAGAACTATACAGCACCAGTACCATGCAAACACTGACTTTTTCTCATTTTTGCACACCCATTTTGTTTACCTCAATTTCTGTTAAAAAAAAAGTCAACGTTGTAAACTCCAACAAGCATGCAAAATTCACACAAAACCCAGAAACAAAATTGCAAAACAAAACGAATACAAACAAAACAAATAAATAAATTTAAAATTCAACTTTTTTAAACGTAAAACAAGTAACGCATGAAAAATATAAAACAAAATAAAAATCAGATCCACTACTACTACCCTTTACCTGGATCACAGAGCCCGTAAAATTCATCAACATCTGAAAGAAGAAACAAACCGAGAAAGTTAAGAACTTTGAGATGCAAAGCGTGAAGAGAAAGGGACCCAGATACGAATTTGGAAAGATAACGGTACCTTGAGTGAGAGCACGAACAACACCAGTTCTTCGAGCACTGTAGTCCTTGAAGATCTCTTCAACTGTGCGGGGGCTAGAAGCCATTTCCATAACCCAATTTGAGAGATCTAAGAGAAATGAATTGGGATTTGGAGAAACTAGATCAAACTGAAGAGAGTGAAGGAGTTGGGAAGGGAAAGAGGTTGTAAGGGCGAGACCATGAGAAAGGATTGAAAAAGGATCAAAGGGTAGAAAATGAAAATAAAAGGAAGTTTGTGTAAATAACGCTATTTCTTTCCTAAATTACTTCCTCACTATTAAGGGGGTAAATGGGTAAGCTTATACGCCTACGTTAAGTATGGTATGGTCCGACCTTTCAGAAAAATAGAGTAGGCTTAGGCTTTCAAGAAAACTTTTTTAACAAATAGGCTGTAGGCCAATTTTATCAAGTCTGGCCCAAAGGCTTGTAGGCTGGCTTATTTAATTTATTAAAAATAAAATAATACAATAATATTTATTTTTTGTGGCATGGCAAAGTACCAATACCAACCCTAATTTTTAGATGAATGACATTCTCTTTAAGACTTTATTTCAGCACTCGATAATTGTATTTTTCTTATTTTCCCCATTTTTTTGACTTTATTCCTCTATGATATACATTCTAAAGCTGGGGTATTATGTTGACTCTTTTTTGTTTGTTATTTTTTTCTTATGAGAAGTACTAGTGCATTATGAATGAAACTTTCTTTCTTTTATACAATTATTTTTTTTGCTTAGTATCTACAGTGATAGGCCTACAAGGCCTAAAGGCCATGTCGGACTTTCTTAATTTTAAAAATAGGTCGAGCTTGGCTTACAAATAAAGCCTTTGATAGGCCAATAAGTCAGATAGGTTGAATTTTTTTTTACGTAGGCTTGGGCCAGGAAGGTCAAAGCCCAGCCCAGCCCATTTACACCCCTACTCACTATTGCTTCTAAACCAGTGGTATTAAATAGGGTTGTGCATGGGTCAGGTCGGGTCAGGTTTTTGTCCGATTCGACCCAACTTGGTTTTTATAGGTCAGGTATTTTGACCCGACCCGCTTTAATTTGATCCAAGTCATGTCTGACTTGGATTGGATTTTGTTGAACTAGTTCAGAACCAGTTTGGATCTGACCTGACTTGGTTTCTGAAGTGGGTCTGACTTGGTTTCTGAACTGGGTCAAATCTGACCTGACCCGTTTTTGACTTGGTCACAAAATTTTGTCGAAATTTTTACGTTGCAAAAGACGAAAATTTCGTCACAAAATTATTTTTTCGTCGAAATTTTTACAGAAAAAATATTTTCTATTGAAATTTAGTTTCCGTCAACAGTTTTGACGAAAATGACTTCTTCCATCAAATGTTTTAAACGAAAAAAGAATTTTGTCAAAAAATTTGACGGAATGTTATTCGTTCAAAATTTTGATGGGAATGTGTTCTGACGGAAATTATTTCGAGGGAAATGTTTCATTTGAAACTTTCAACGAAATTTAGATTCTCTAAAGAATTTTGACAGAATATTTTTTTCGTCAAAATGTTTTTTTTGTTAAAAAAAATTTACGGAATTTTTTTATAGAAATGTTTTTCGTTGAAAATTTTGATGGAAATTTTTATCAAAAAACTTGACGAAAATATTTAGTTGAAAATTTTCGATGGAAATATGTTTCGCTAAAAATTTCAACAAAATTTTTTTTTTGTCAAAAAATTTAACGAAATATTTTTCGTTGAAAACTTTCGCCGAAATTTGAAATCTGTAAAGAATTTTGATGAATTTTTTTGCCGTCAAAATTTTTTTATGACGAAAATATTTCCGTCGAAAACTTTCGCCAAAATTTGAAATCTGTAAAGAATTTTGATGAAATTTTTTGCTGTCAAAATTTTTTGATGACGAAAATATTTCCGTCGAAAACTTTCGCCGAAATTTGAAATCTGTAAAGAATTTTAATGAAATTTTTTGATGGAAATGTGTTTCGTCGAAATTTTCAATGGAAATTGTTTTGAGGAAAATATTTCATTTGAAACTTTCGACGAAATTTAGATTCTCTAAAGAATTTAGACAAAATATTTTTTCTGTCAAAGATTCTTATCGAAATATTTTTGTCAAAAAATTTTACGAATTTTTTTTTATAGAAATGTGTTCCGTTGAAAATTTTGATGGATATATTCTTTATCAAAAAACTTGACGAAAATATTTAGTCGCAAATTTTTTATAGAAATGTGTTTCGCTAAAAATTTCGTCGAAATTTTTTTTTGTCAAAAAGTTTAACGAAAATGTTTCCGTAGAAAACTTTCGCCGAAATTTGAAATCTGCAAAGAATTTTGATGAAATTTGTTTTTTCACATAATGGGTATGGGTCTAGTTTTGGGTCAGTGGGTCAATATTAAAACGAGTCAGGTCTAAAACTGACCCAAATAAAAGTGGGTCAGTATTTAAACCAGTTCAAAAAATATGGGTATTTATGTGTCGGGTCAAGGTCCGATCAAGGGCAGGGCAAGTGAACCAGTTTTTTTGCACACCCCTAGTATTAAACCCGGTTCACACTGGTCGAGTCGAACTAAAAATCGATCAATAGTTGTCTTTTAATATTTATGCAAGTAGCGTGTAAGTTTATGCGACAACAAATAATATAGGACATATTTAAGATTCAATTGTCGTTTCCATAAGGGATCACGACGTATTTGCTTTGAAAAGATATTGCAATTGCTTTATCGAAAACTAAAAAAAAAATTAAATTAAATTAAAAACATATCGCTATTCTAAAACTTGATGTGAAGAAAATATTTTTGAGAAAATTTTGAAAGTAAAAAGAGGGCCTTGAAGGTCGTAGCATGTGAGAGGGGAAAAACAAATTTTTTCCGCAAGCGGAATACACATGCATATCAAGATACATACTTTAAGACGTATGTCATACCTTGTTCGTGAAGAACTCAAGACGATCAAAGGTAGGTCTAAAGGGTTCAGACCCTCTAACGTTGATCCACACCACTTGCGTCTAGATACAGGAACTCCTTCCAGTAAAGCAGCCAATTGATCACCACAAAGAGGCTTGATATTCACTCAATGTGTGATGAGAGGAGGCTATGTAAAAGTGTTTGGAAGAGTGAAGTTTTCTGAGAGAAAACCTCACAGAAGTGGCGCGGGAAATTAGGAGAGAATGGCTTGGTTGGTTTTCTAAAAACCCTAGAAGAAACATATATAAAGAGGCGCACAAGAGGAGCCTATTTGTTAAAAACAAATCAGATTTTTAATCAATAAAAATCTCTTCCAAAAGGGCGCTCCATCAAAGAGAGAGAGAATAGGATTTGTTGCAAATCAAATCTCATCAAATCTTGTCAACAACATCCTATCATATATTTATGATATATTAGGTTCAAAACCTAATCAAATATATGATCATAAATCATCATATAATCAGTTATATGGTGCGCCCCATATAGCCCAAATAATGACCAGATACATTTGAGTAATCAAATCACTCAAATATTCTCTCGACAGATTGTATCTTCTGGAGCTGATACTGATGACTAATCATCAGCCATATTAGCGCCCCATATCTCCTTGGATTATGTCCAAGAGATTTTCTCTTGATATGTTCCAACAAGATCTAATCTTGTTATATTCCAACAAGATCTAATCTTGTCTTTTTCAAACAAGATCTTATCCTATCCTTTTTCGTAATGAAACAATTTTCATAGCCAATTCTAATTTAATTATTAAATTCAAATATTAAAATATTCAAATTTAAACTTTCAAACATTCAAATTCAAAATTCAAATTTCAAATTTCAAATTTCAAAATTCAAATTTCAAAATTTCGAATTCAAATTTCAAATTTCAAATTTAAAATTCAAAATTCGAATTTCAAAATTCAAATTCAAAATTTAAATTTCAAAATTTAAATTTTAAATTCCAAAATTCAAAATTTAAATGTTTGATAATTAATTAATTTAACTAATTAAATTAATTAGTAATGACTTGGACTATCCAAGCTCATTACATTAACCAAGCGCCCTCCACCCCTTTAGGTGGAGTTCCAAACTACTTCTTGGGCTAATAACTATTATAAGGCCCAATACTTTTAATGCTAGAGCATCTAGACAATTAGGTGTTTGTGTGTGACCCATTAGGTCCAACATAGCCACTGACATAAATGGGCTTGGGCCCAATAAGCCCACAACTCATCTAATGATAACACAGAGCACTAGCAATGCTTTGTTGTCCCAGAACTAGTTCGATTAATGATTTGATCATCATATTAAACATATTTGGTTGCCGTATGTTTGTCCCTTCGTCTCGGTTACCTTCCCATAAAACCTAGGGTAAAGAAACGTATCATCCCTTGCGGTTTAGGGTTAGCTTTTTATGAAATAGGGAGTCTTCAATTTACTGACTCTAAAGGTAGATCATCTTATGATCTCTTTTGCTATGCATAGATTCCCGAGTCACTGTAAATGTCATCCCGATTTCTCCGGTTTAAGGATAACCTAATCTCTGTGACGAATTCCTTCAGCTTATCACCCTAGCCCTGTGCCCTATCAGAACATGCCCAAGAGCATACCTATGAATCTCCATGTTTCAGGCAGACGAGGTATACAGTCAAAGCATGCCTTCTAAAACACAGTCTAAGTGATAACTTCTGGTCTAAGGAAAGACATACCCAAATATAAAGAGACTACTCTAATGATACTATCTGTGAGATTTCCTCATAGAGTCTCTTTGTGGGTCCGTTCAGTGCGAGCTATACTCTTATAGGTCCACCCACGACTTTAGCTAAGACATCTCCATATCTGTAGCACATGAGGTCTATAACTTGTATCCATATACAAGTAGATAAGTCATGCTAGTCTTACCCGAGATTATTGACCTCATTCTCAGTATCTCTAGATTAGGAACATAATATTAGGAATAAGCATCCGGTATTCTTGAATCCTCATGATCGTGATCTCATCACAGATATTCAAGAGATACCTATTTTATTCCACGGGGTTTATCAAGTTATTCATAATATATTAACATTAATATCGAGACAGAATTATGAAACAAGATAAAGAGTGTTTTTATTTATTTGCGACAATATTAAAAAGGTCTACATCTATGTCCTTATTTAATCATAAGATTGTCTCTAGGACACCCAAATACTAACAAGCTCTCACTTGGCCTAGAGCCAATCAGACCTAAGTCGTATACCTAAAGCCTTACAATGACTATCATGTTTTCTCTGAGAAACAGCCTTTGTCAGAGAATC